TGGCCGTGGCTGTGCCCACCATGTTGGGTCAGAATCCCAGAGGTTCCCGCAAACCCAAAAAGGTTGGGGACCCCGAGTTTAAGGAGTATTTCTCATTAACGTCTAGGGTTGCCATTCCCCCGGTGAGGCCAGGGGAGTCCCCCAATTTCCGGGGCCCCGACCCACCATTACCCGGCTGACAGGTGGGGGAAGCCCCACCCCTGAGAACCCCCCTTGGTGCCGGTGCGATGATGTCATCCGGGAGTGGCATCACTGTGTTTCCGATGTCGAGGATGACGCTCTAGGTATTGGGCGAAACTCTATGGTTATGAGGCCCAAAACACCAACAGCACATATACAACCTGTGTTGCGCCAGCTGCACTGGCTTCCAGTGGAGTACCGAGTCAAACTTAAGGTTTTGGTGTTGACCTTTAAGGTCTTGAGCGGTTTGGGACCGACATATCTGCGGGACTGTCTCCTCCGGCATGTACCCGGGAGAACGTTACACTCCTTGGGATAGCAATCTGCTGGTGATCCCTGGCCCCAAAGACATCCGGCTGTCCTCGACCAGGGCCAGGGCCTTCTCGGTCCTGGCCCCGACCTGGTGGAACTCTCTGCCAAACACCATCAGAGCCCTGCGGGACTGTGTGCAATTCCGCAGGGCCTGTAAGGCAGAGATGTTCCGCCAGGCTTTTGGTTGAGGGAGGCAACGGTTTCCATCCCAGCTCACACCCCTTTCCACTCCTCCTACTCTCCTTCGCATCAGACCGCTCTGCTCCTCCTCCCCCGTACCCACGAGGTGGTCGCAGTCTGGAACTGGGAAGGAACTGTAGATCAGACCGCTCTGCTCCTCCTTCTCCCAGTCTGGAACTGGGAAGGAACTGTGATTTTCGCCACTTCGTCTTTTTAGATTGCTGTATTAAGTACTATTTATGTATCTATTTTTATGGTTTATGGTGTAGTGGTTAAGAGCAGCGGACTCTAATCCAGAGAACCAGTTTGATTCCCCACTTCTCCACATGTAGCCAGCTGGGTGACCTTGGGTCAGTCACAGTTCTCAAAAGAGCTCTCTCAGCGCCAGATACCTCACAAGGTGTCTGTTATGGGGAGAGGAAGGGAAAGGAGATGGTAAGCTGCTCTGAGACTCCGAGTGAAGGTGGGATATAAATCCAATTTTCTCCTCCTCCTCCTCCTCTTCTTCTTCGTCTGTTATATGTTGTATATCACCCAGAGCCCTGCAGTAGCAGGGACTGGGTGATTCATAAGTTCAAAAAACAAAACAAGAACTAGCTGCTGGGCCTTAACTTCAGTCATTCCGTATACCCCAAAACACTTCAAATGTCTAAAGCAGGGGGTGTCAAACATATGGCCCGTGGGCCAGAAAAGGCCCACCCAGGGCTCTTATCCTGCCCGCGAGCAACTAATTACCTTTATTGCCAGATGACAAGAGGCTGTGCATTTTGTCCCTGTGCTAATGAGTAATGTGTAGTGGAAATGGGTGGGTGGGCATCAGGGAGATACTTTAAGGAAATACTGTAAGGGAGTTAATGTTTTAAGCGTGTTTGTTTTTTGAGTAAAAAAGAATATCGTTAATAGAGTTTACCTGCGTCCTTTATGAAGTTTATATCTCCAGTTTTTTTCATGGCACGCAGGGCCCGGACCCGACAGAGTAACATTTGTTCCAAATCTGGCCCAGTAACAAATAAATTTGACACCTCTAGTCTAAAGGTTTCCACAGCTGATTTCAGTGGTTCTGTCAGCTCAGAGCACGAGACCATTCTGCACACAATGCAACATGGCAGGAAAGCACATGGAAACACTTGCAACCTCATCTGACTGGGTTTAAACAGGTACTGGAGTACACATTTGCTGATCGAAGAGTTCCTTTTAAATATACAGATCAGCCACTTTTGCCTTTTTTTCTAATGATTTACTTTTTAAAAAACACTGCTGATTTCTATAGAGCTACAGCAAGGGTAAATCTTGGCTCTGGCTTCATTAAATGTCAGTTTAACATCAATTAACACGATGATTGAAATTAAACACTTACATGCCAGTTAACCAAAAATAAAACCAAGAAATGTGTATCTACATTCAACTGAAGGATGCTTGTCGGCCTGCACACACAAATACTGTTTGGTGTAGTGCTTAGGAGTGCAAACTCTAATCTGGGAGAACCGGCTTTGATTTCCCACTCCTTCACATGCAGCTGCTGGTGTAACCTTGGGTCAATCATAAGTTCTTTCAGAGGTGTTCTCTCAAGGGCAGTTCTTGAGAGAGCTCTCTCAGCCCCACCTACCTCACAGGGTGTCTGTTTGGGGGGAGGGGAAGGAGATTGCAAGCCGCTCTGAGACTCCTTCAGGAAGTGAAGGCCAGGGTATAAATCCAATCTCTTCTTCTTCTCTTCTTCACTGTACTTGGGCACAGATTTGGATAGCATTTCCTGTGCCTTCAATGCTCTCTGCATTTAAAATTTGCCAAATCCAGAGGGCTGCCACCAGGAGAATATAAGCATTCCAGACCAGTGGTTTTTCTAGGTACAGATCTCCAGTCTGTCCATAAAATTCCCTGTACGCAGTGGTCTCTCCATTGATTTTAATACAGCAGAGATATTTGTCCTCTTTGTATACTACCCTGCACATCACTCAGTCTGTACGGCACAGCCAAATCAACACAACAGGGCCATCGATGACTCTCATTCTGGGTTCTGCAGATCCAGGGAGCTCACAGGTTTGCAGAAAAATCCAATTTAAGGGAAGCCAAAGCCAGAATTGGGGAGGGGCAGGGGCAGCTGAAGCCAGTGGTGGGGGGAGAAAAGGATTTCTTCCTTCCCCATGAATTCTTGCTAAATCATATAGTGCTCTCCATTGGTGAAAAATATCCATGTCCTTTGCACACACAGATTGGGAGTCTCAGACAGAGAGAACCTGCACACCCCAAAGGTCCCCAGATCTGTGAATCAGGGCGGTAACATTTTTTCGCCTCGCTCATCTTTGCTCCTCAGTTGCTTCCATTTAAGGACTTATCTTCTCTTTTACCAGAGCCTGCACGATGCATACTGAGCAGCACCAAAAACTGTACCAAAAATTAGCCTAACGTAAATTTGGTTTTCAGATTATTTTGGGCCAAAAAGGGTCAGTATCCAGGAGAGAAAGCGCCTCCACTCCGGGTGATTAAGAGCCAGATTCATTTCACGAAAGCCAGAGGAATTTTACCCAAGCGACTGCAGCACCCCAGTTCTACACAAGGTGGAGTTAGCCTAATGGAAATACATCCCACGGAAACCGTCTGTAGTGCGCCGGCAGCTTCCCATCCAGACAGCCCTTTTTAAAATACGGCAAGGCCTCTGTGCAGCAGTTGGGGCTGGCTTGAAGGAATATCACGCAAGAAAAACATGCTTCCATTCAGAAATCAGATCGGCAGGAAGGAAAAGCGTGCGTGGCTTTGGAAAGCTGAGCAATGACTTATTTTACGTACTTACGCTTTCTTCTCCGTCCTGCCCCAAGATTTAGAAAAATGGGTTTCGATATGTTGTTATTCTTAATTATTACAAAGATCAGCCAAAACTATCATTCTACAGATCAAAGAACAAGCAGCGACTTGGTCCGGCCTAATTTTTCTCCCTAAATTGCCCTGTGTCAAAGGGGGGAAATTTATTAAAAGCCAGTTACCAGTCAAAAGTTAGTACCCTCGGGCACAAGGGAAA